ACTTATTTCTTAAAAAAATGTCAAAACATAATTAAGTTGGACATAAAATTAAATAATGGAAGTGTGATTATTTTTTAATATTTGATTGTATTGTACAGTCGAAATAAATTATTTTTGATTAAGAAAAGTACCCATTACTACAACACATAGTAACTTAAAATACCAATAGTCAAATTCTCAAATCAAATCTACAGACAGGTAAAAGTTATTAAGACTGGCCATAAACCTTAATAGTATGTTATGAGACTGTATCAACTGCGATTATTCATCTGTTGTTGAATAATAACATCTACCACGTCGACATAAGGTTCAAATTCAAACTCCAAGTTTTTCTCCCTTCCTTTAGCTTATTGGATTCTTACCCAAGATTCTATTGATAAATATGAAAGCTAATGCTTGTTGAATCAAAGCGTTACTTTTAAATCAGTTCTTCCCATTACGGTTCCCGTATAAATATCGTATATCCAATTAAATATACTTACTTATGGTGGTAGTATTATTTAGTGATGGTACTATCATAAAATAGAAATAGTCAAATTGTAGTTACATTTTATTGCACTCTGTAGAACCCGACTAGTATTCAAATTAAATTACTTTGCAGGGTTGCCAATCGTACATTTATACCTAAAATTGTTCTGTATGTATGTGCCTGTGTAGGCTGATGCTACGTACTGCGTATTGATCAAAATATATATATTTTATAGTATGTACCATAGTAGGTACATATTTTTAACATCCAATATTAAATTCACTGGAAAAATCGTAGAAGTGTTGGCAACCCCACCTTCATACCTTTCCAACAGGTAAAACGTAATGTAAGTAGATAAAAAGTATTAAACAATACTTCTTCAATGTAGACGTCAGCTCACACCAATCTGTGTAGTCAATAGATTCTCAACCTTATCGAAAGACGCGCGCGAAGCTAAGCTAAAACTGCTGTCCAGTCTATCAATAGATTTATGACCTAATACCTTTGTAAATAGAGTCAATAATCCATTGAAGAAATATCTGCATGCTTCTTTAAGTGACATCACTAAATAATACTACCAATATGAACTCTAATCCTTCATACGGAGCTGCTAGAATCGCCTGGGAAATGCAGCTGGTTGTCACCGCCGCAGCTTGGGGTCGGCGAAGATGGCGGGTCGAGGGACGCGCGCGACGTTGAGCTAAAACTGCTAGAACTAAGCTCTTCTTGTTCTGTCTCGTATCGACCGCCTGTTGTTGTTACTGGAAATTGGGAAATTGGTGTGTGAAAATAGTGTTCAATAGAAGACTTCGAGTCAAATTAATTTTGTATTATGAGTAGTATTGTCTTCGCTATTGAAAACTGTCAGAAAAATATAAATCAGGTCAATATGATTGTTTTCTTACTTTTTTATAATAATGTATTTTGTGATGGTGATGGATGATGGATGATGATGATAACATTACAATTATGTATTTTTAATCCTCTGTAAAGGTTTCATAGATTTATTTACATTAATAATAAAACAGTTTCACTGAAGCAATCGTCTTGAATACGACATTTTGCTTCAGTGTTTCTGACTGAACTGAGAGTCAAAAACGTTGTCATTTGTGTGATGGTGTGGGTGACCGGTACTGTGCCACTACACAGTAAATACCAATGAGTGTTTCACACATTCAATGAAATAAAATCGAAACATATGAGTCAAAATAAAACTTCAGTAATGCTGTTTTTGAATTCTCATCTTTATTATGTTTGATACTATCCTGATTTTTAAACACTCCATAACTTTATCAACAGAACAGAACAGTACAGCCAAAGTATATATATCACACGCGAACATTTAAGCTTGAAGACATCGCATACGTTTTATACACTGATATATATTATATACCTTGCTTATTTATATACATACTATACTTAGGCCCACATCAATGTGAACGGTTTATAATCAAACATGGTAGAAGTAGAACTACATCTCGTCTATGGGGTCTGGTATTCTGATCATGACTTGGCTATGGTGTAGCGTGAGCATGTTTGGCCAATTACTGTAGCTGTCAAAAATTAAATGTGCATAGACTGCATATTACCAAAGAGGTAAGTAAGTGGGCAAGGTTGTTTTCGCTACACGTCGCTTTCGTAAACTAAGCCCTCATGACGTCGCGGGCAGTTATAGTTCTCTAGTTTCTTTCTATTCTATTTAGATACAATTCTGTGTGATAGTAAAAAGAAAAAAGCCAAAAAATGGTATTTCATGTTGCCAGCATATTGATTGTTTATTAACATACATTTCACATCGACCTTGGTCTAAGCATAAGTACTTATTTTTGAAATCCACGATCACATGATAAGCCAAATCCAATTTTTTTATAAACAAAAATCTTAAACTTATTTTTATGTTGTGTGTTAAGCAATAACGAGTCTAAAGTATAAGTAAGCAAGGTACATTTTATTACGCAATATTGCTAGCAGTTCCATACATCTATAGCTCGTCTGCATAAGATTTAAATGTACAAGATTATTTATTATGCTTGTATGAATTATTACAACAAAAATGATTGAATAATTATATAGAAGACAATATATTTAACAATGTATAAAGATAGTAGATTGAACTATTATTTACATACATTCATGATTATAATTCTCGTGGGACATAAAATTAAATATATTTTTACGGTTTACTCACGTAATTGTTTCGTTTGTCGCGCAATATTACTCAAGGCTATGATCCCTGAGAGTGGCTTGAAACTAATCGAGGAACAGTTATGTCAGTGACCCGTAAATTATAATCAATTTACATTCATATTATTAGTAATACATGAGTTGGTCATAAATGAAGGACAAATTATAGTTATGTTAGAAATGATTCCGCGTGTAAAAGTAGGCAAGTTGAAGACGATGAGAACATATTGTTTTTGAAGCTAAAATCCCAAAATAAAAAATATTCTGTCCGAAAAAATGGATGTTTTCCTTTCTTAACAAATACATGAATTCATCGACAAAAGTATTACGTTCAGTTTTTAAGCTGCCGTTAGTAATTTACCTAGGAATAAAAATAATAGCCGACTACGTAGCAACCCAAAATTAGTTGTATTTCATTGTTGAATCCACATTATAAGTAAATATACCAAAATAAGTACTACCTACATGAAAAATTAAACTAATATTATAAATTCGCACCAAGTTGTTACGACTTGTGTTAAACCAAAACTATTATTATTAACAAACATGCTCTAGCGAAACATGAAGGTTCAACAAAGAGCATCGTTTATAATTATTACGAGAAAATAAATAGTCCTTACAACTTTCTAATTTAGATCTTTTCTGAAAACCTATTTTATTATTTTGGAGATCTTAATAACCATTATAACAATAATTTCATAATTTAATTTCATTCATTTACCAAAATGAATAAGTCTTTTACATAGAGGGCACACATGACCAAACATCTTAATCAACTTTCGTTTTATGGAAACAAATCCTTAATTAGAACCCTTAGAACATAATATTCATCGTCAAATTATAAATAGCATTATGCACCAACTATATACGTATTGACTTAATTGTAATCGAAATAATTTCACCGAAAAAATTAATGATCACGCGTAAATTATATAAAAAAATAAATATTTGTCATGATTCAACATATTAAAGCTAAATAAAATTAGAAAAAAACATTGGTTAATAAATAATACTTGTCGATAGTTACGATATATTTGTACACAAGGACAGCCGTACGTGAGAAGGTATTATATACCGGGGTGACTAAGTCATAAGCGTTGGACTACTTCTGAATAAGACATAAGAAAGTACCGTAAAGCTCCTAAACCCAACTAAGCACATTATTTGCCGTACATTAATAGATATTGATCTAATTCGTAGCACGCCAAACCTAACCCTGAACAGGTCTTCTGGAAAATGTGCCTAATTGACATAGTTCGACCAAATCGACACTAGCAACGAATTTATTATTTCTACTCCAATCAGTGTCGCCGGTCATGATAGATGCCGTAATATCTAATTCAGAAACAGCCAACTGAGGCAAAGCATCAATAAATTAATACTGAGGTACGATCGCAATATAATAACATGTTAATAATAAAAACGAGCCTCAATTATATCAAGGTCAGAAATTAACGATCTGTTCTGAAAACTTCGACCTCTAAAGTAACTGATTGCAAAATATATAACATACTGTATCCATATAATATGGTAAAGCGTTATTGTAGGGTAAGCAAGGGTCTGTGTATACTGGCCTTTACGTAAGATCTTGCGTGGCGCGTAGAAAAACAGTGTTTAGTTTTTTTTATTTGATTTTTTGTTTCCACAATTTATGCAATTTTATTCATCTACACCCTAATAACTAAATAAACAAGAGATAAGTACTAAAAAGAGTACCATTATACAAAAAATGTAAGAGATTTTTTATGAAGACCGTTACACCGAGTCGTGATTCGATAATATCAAAATGTTTCCCGAAACCTATAAACTATGAGTACATGCATATTTATATTAATACTTTTCAAATTTCTAGGACTTTTAGGTCTTCATAAAAAATCTAATAACTTTAATTTTTTGTGTATTTTGCTAGATTTTTACATTTTTATGTTAATTTTTTTGATATGACATAAATACCGCTACTGAACAACGATAAAAGGTCATCGCCTAAATAGTAATGTTAGGCTTTAGTAGCAAATATTTTAAAATCACTTTTTTTACAAACATTTTAAGATTTTTTTGTCTTTTACCTGTGCTTAATCACAAAAATTGCATTACTTAACTAAGATTACTACAACAGCAGCAAATGTTTGATTCTAACCGCGTAAACAAGACATATTCAGCCATAGACAATTAATTCAAAGTATCTGGTGATATTTTTTAGGCTGTGGTGCCTCAAAAATTATATAATTTTCCTGACATTTTACTTAATCCGTTACTTTATTAAAATTAATTTAATGTGACTACACACGAAATAAAAGTTACAAATTAATAAGAAACACAAAAAAATAGAATAAAAATAAAATAATAAAAATATTGTATTGTATTTAAAATTATATTCAAGCTCTGAAACATCCAATTAGTTATTAAATATTGATACCACATGTAGGTACCTGAACGATGAGACTTTCAACTCAGGTATGTTGCACATCTCACCATCGGTGGATGAAAGCATAAACTACTTTTAACTTTTACTGTATTTCCGCAAAATATTCTACTACCTAAAAATCTACCGATATCCTTAAAATAAACCACTACATCCAGTCAGCCCTTAGTAAAATTATTACAATATTAAAATGAATGTAAGCTGAATATGTCTTTGATTTAAACTACGATAAATATTGCAAAAATCGAAACATTGAACATTAATATCACTGAACACATTTTATTACTTTTTCTTCTTACGCGACTTTTTAGACTTAGACGATTGCTTTGTCGAAGGCATGGTTACATTAGAAGCACCAGTTGGTTTCTTGTCCTCTTTGTCACTGTCCAATGACGCCAAGGGAGACGACACATCATCATCCGAAGATTTCTCCATTACCCCTATATCTTTGTCGTCAGATTTATCTTCGTCAATCTTCACCTCTTGAGATGTTATTTTATCGTTTTCAACTACACTAAAGCCTTTCTCTTTCTTTGACGGAACCTTTTCCAAATCGATTAGGTTGAATGCACTAGATTCTATAGTTTTGTTTGTCGTTTCTTTTATGGTCGACAATATGTTGTCAATATTTATCTTGCATATAGGACTCGAGACTGCCCCTTCGTTCATTTCCAGTAGACTGTCTCGCATCACCTCTAGCTTGAAATCATCTAAACCGAAGTCCAAAGGTTCCAACGGTGGAAGGTCCCGAACTGAATGATGTTCTTCAACAAAATTTAGTTCTGCAGGAGCATCGCACTGGGCTACCATGATATCAGGCCTTTTGCAAAGTTCAATAAGTTTATCTTGCAAAGACACCTGATCGGAAGACTCAGCCTCTACGTTCATATCTTTAGCTTTAAGAACCCTTTCTTCTTTCTCTTTCTTTTCGATTTCTATTCTTTCTTCAGTAATCTTGTCATTTTTAGACGCAGCAATAGAACTCCAAGATTTAATAGGTCTATCCTCCTGAGTCACCTTCTCAGGTTGAGGTGATTTCTTTCGGGTCTTACTGGCTTTAGTTATCTGAATTTCGGGGAAATCTTCCTTCATGGTATCTATAACATAAACATCTGTAACCTCTGTTTCATAGCGTTTGTCGGTTGATTTACGATCAGCATAAGGAGATGGAGATTTAGTTTTCTTGGTTTGTGTAGATTCTTTCAAAGGGGAGGCACTTTGCTCAGTTCCTTCAACTTTAAGTGAGTCTGTTATAAGTATTCCTATCTCTGAATCACTAGATTTGTTTTTTGAAATTGGTTCAGACCATTCATCGTTCACATCATCGACATTTTCTATTTTAGGCAAGCTACTAGTTTCCGAGTCGTCGAGTGCCCAAATAGCTCTAGGATCAAAGTCATGTCTCCTCTCTGGAGTAACACTTTTAGTTGACCGTGACTTTTTAGCTTTTGCTAAGAAAGACACGGGTTCAATGTCATCATAAGGTGTTGATATAGAAACTAGATCACCGCTAGAAGGCTGTGGTTTATCTTCGATGGTATGTATTTCTACAAATGTATCTTCATCCTTCACTTGATTATCATCCTGAGACTTCTTACCCTTTCGATTTTTCTTAGATTTTGGTTTAGGTTCCTCAGAAATTTTTTCTTCGGCAGGTGGTTTATTAGGCACAATTGGTTTCTCCGGCTCATTCAAGAGCATATCCCAAGCTTGTTCTTCAGTTTTAATGACTTCCACATCTTTTTCTCTTACAGACCTTGACTCAGATTTTTTCTTAGACGATAATTTTAAAGTAACGCTCGCTGAGGATGACTCCTCGTGAGTATCAACGGAAGCAATGGGATCCGACTCCCTTAAGGGATGTTCTTTCATAACAGGGTCTTTTGTTACTAATTCTTTTGCAATAACATCTTTTGGAAGTTCTTTCGGAACAGACTCTCTGGAAGCTATCTTCTTTGACACAGATTCTTTCACTACAATTTCTTTTGGTACAGATTCCCTTGAACCAGTTACTTTAGGTACAGATTCTTTTGGAACATACTCCTTTGGAACAGATTCTTTCTGAATAGGCTCCATCTTAGCAACTCTTTCTACTTTAGGAGTAGACCCCCTACGCTCTCGTACCTCACTAGACCTAAAAGCCCTCGAGCCTTCATCTCGCAACCGAGGGCTTTCCCTAATTCTACTAGATTTCTTATCCCTAGAGTTAACATCGGTATCCGACTTTGGGGTGGGAGATCGCCTAACTGTAGGTGGGGCGGCCGGTTGAATATCACCCGACTGCCTCTGTTTTGGCAGTGTGTCGGGAGGCGCCTGGCAGGCTCGCTCGGCAGGCGCCAAGCTCCTCGCACTCCGTCTTGCATCCCTCATCTCTCGCATCGCCTCCTCGTTTATACTACACTTATCTAAATTAAAACTAATGATGTCGTCGTCTTGCAGGGCGGCGGGGATGACGACGGCCGTGGGCAGGCCGCGCGGGGGCGCGGGCGGGGGCGCGGGCGCGGGCTCCGTCACGGTCTGCACCGGGATAGTAGTGGTGAGTGGCAGCGGGCGCGCCGCGTCCTCGGGGCGCGCCTCGGGCGGCGCGGGCGCGCGCAGCACGGGCCTGAACGTGGCTTCGTCGCAGTTGGAGGCGGCGAAGGGCTCGGGCCAGGCGGCGGGCGGCGAGGCGGGCGGGGGCTGCACCACGGTGCCCAGCGGGTCCACGGCGCGCGCCACGCAGCGCGGGCGCGGGCCGGGCGCCGCGGGGGGGCTGCAGTCGCTCGCCGCCCCTATACGAAACCGAAGGCAACCGTTATTCGAGTGCGGAGGAGGTCGGCGTGCCGGGCGCAGCCCTACTGGTCGGTAACAGGGTGCCTTTGGCTTCGGTATAGGGCCGGCGGCGGGCTTACACTCCGCGGAACTATCCGACGACTCCTCCGCTTGTTACTTCGCTCTTGGATATTCACTCGATGGTAAACGAATTCCAAAAACTTTTCACATCCGCAACACACATTTCATATGCACAATTCGCAACCACATGAACGCATTGTCATTTGTCAACAAAATTTAATATCAATAACATATTCCTAACTGACCCGATATTGGTACAAATTATTAGAGTCAAACAAGGTGTCCCTGGAACTATCGATCAAACAAAACAGAAGCACAAAGGATTCACGCCTCTGCTTAATTTCATTCATACTTCCTAAGACACCTCGTACAGAACGTTAGAAATTAAATTTAAAATAACTAACCGTGGTCTGCCGTATATAAATTATTTATACCCTCTTAACCCTTTGCGATCAATTTATCATATTACTTCTATTGTTCGAGTTTCTCTATCAAGATCGATACGAGATTTTGGACATTACAAGCGGTAAGATCAAGTAAAGGGATTGAAATGATACTAATATCATTAAAATAAAGGAATAGACAATTCTGATTCATTTTTTACCTTTTTACCCGTTCGAGTTGCACAGAGCCTACCTAGTGACTAAGCTGTTGAACTATATCTATCGATATAGTTATTATATAGGGTGACTAGAAAACTAACGTTCAACAATCTGTGGTGCCCCGTATTGTATTTATAATACTCGACACAAACGATGGCCACATTTTTTATGGTGGGGGAAAGTTCGTGAATTTTGACATTATTTTTCAATTACACAAATTCCTTTTATTATTCTCATGTTAAGAAAAAATGATAGCAAAAAATACTCGATGCGCGAAGTCATCTAACGAAATATCTGAGGGCTTAGTATGAATTTGTTTTATATTAACGAAACGTTACCACGTTTAGCTTAATGTTTCGTTTTATGGGTCGACGTGCTCTATTACAGACTGGATCATCGCTTACCATCAGGCGAGATAGTGGTCAAACGTCAGCCCATCAAATAGAAAAAAGCCCTCTGATTGGTTAATTCATTACAGCAGGCCAATCAGGCCTTAGTACGAGTTTGATTTACGTTTAAAGTATTCGAAACAAGTACGCGTTCGGCACTCTAATTCGCCAATGAAGCAACCAATCAGAGCGCCAAACGCCCACTCGTTACGATTACTTTACACGTAAAACAAACTCGTACTAAGGCCTCAGAGCGCCGAACGTGGTAACGTTTCGATCTCAATAAACGTAAAAAAACTCGTACTAAGCCTCTGACCATGATTCGAGCCATGGACTATAATTTTCTATCATTTTTCATAACTTTTCGATACAAAATTATTAAATGAATACAGTACATACCATGGTCCTCCTTCATAGCCTCCGCTAAGTCCTCTCTCAGCTGCACGTCACAGACTGAGGCCGCGCGTCCAGTTTCCGCTAGCAACGACTTGCGACGGAAACTGTCCGACGGAGAATGTTCTAGAGAACCTGGGGACAATGTTGGGATAGTTCTATTAATTCTGTTGTGGACGTTGATATCTTTATATATATAATTCTTCTGTGAGTGTGTATGTCACTGAACTTCTCCCAAACGACTGGACCGATTTTGATGACATTTTTTTGTGTGTGTTCAAGGGGATCTGGGAATGGTTTAGATTCACAAATCAGCCCGGCAGATGGCGCTGCAGTCGGTGTTTAGGTTAGTTATCCTAAACGGCTGAACTAATTTGAATGAATTTTTGTTTATACATTCAAGTGGATCTGCAGGACAACGTCTGTCGGGTCCGCTAGTAAACATATAAGAGTCGAATCGCCGTACAAAAAATGCCGGACTTCGAAAGCCTAAGGAAGTTGGGCCTCCTTACAGACATTTCTCAATTCAGTGTTCAATATGGCTCGTTGGCCTCGTTGGCCGAGTGGTCGCAATTGCGACTGCCGGGCAAGGGGTCTCGGGTCCGATAGCCGGGTCGGGCAAAGTATTACTGGGCTTTTTAAAAAAATCTCAGTAGTAGCACGGAGCCTAGAATTGTGCCGGTATATAGCAATAGGCTCACACCCCATTACATGGGACTCATAACATAAATAGTGAAATGTGGGTGTTACATTGACATTGCCGTAATGTACACCTCTGCCTTCGGAGATAAAAGGCGTGATGGCGTTTTATGTTGTGTTCAATATGGCACCGAACCGAATAAAGCGACCGGTTGGACGTAATGTGCACGCTTGGCAAGCAAGTTAAAGCATCCAAGTTTTTAGAAAGCGCTGCTAATATTGCATAATATTGGTATCTTTTACTTTTCTACAAAGGACAATGTCCATAACGGGCCTGTGTAATAAAGAGTATCATAATATACGATAATGAATCCCCTATTTTATTATATAAGTTGCAAATACTTCTGTATCACGGACTAGCTGTATTCTAAAATGTACTTTTATTATAATTTACCGCGATTAATAAACATTAGATTTCCATCTTCGACTAATCAAAGCCAATGCCTTCGCCTAATGTAATAAATAATAATCGTCGTAATTGGTAGTAACAATAATATTATACAGTAATCTAAAGTTCTTTACTTCTATACAATCATTCAAACATTTAACATTCGTTCAAATATTCGTTGTTATGGTTAGATTATAACCTCAATTTTTTTTGTATTTTTTTTGTTTTTTAATACGTTGCCCCACATTATGATTTTCTCCTGTGTCGTGGGTAAAATCTGATACTTTTTTTGAAATGTATCTTTTCTGCAGCTAGTCCGCTATAAAAACAAGATCTTATAGGAGTCTAAAAATTATAGGAAATACAATACATAATTATCCAATACTCTTGGCTCCAGGGCCAACAATGTATGGGACGCAGAGCAATGTCCTTTATTTTCTATTCAAAATGGAAAACTATGTCATAACTTGCGTGTACTTACTGGCAGATCCAGAGTCTATGAGGACAGGTACGACGGGTCTAACACCGGGCATATTGACCGGGTTGGAACGAGCGACGCCGCGGGCAGCGCTAGTATCCACTTCTACTGTCTCCGCTTCAGACAGGGACGAGCTTGATCTGTACAAATTAAATAACATTAATAAGTTTGATCTACCACTAAAGTATGCATATCGTTATATATATAATTCTTCTGTGAGTGTTTATGTCACTGAACTTCTCTCAAACGACTGGACCGATTTTGATGAAATTTTTTGTGTGTGTTCAAGCCCGGCAGATGGCGCTGCAGTCGACGTTTAGGTTATTTATCCTAAACAGCTGAACTGATTTGAATGAATTTTTGTTTATATATTCAAGTGGATAAGCACGACAACGTCTGTTGGGTCCGCTATGTAGTTAATATTATAAATGTGAAAGTGTGTGTGTCTGTTTGTTTCTATGTCCGTCTTTTGAAGTACAGCATCAATTTTGCACCTTTTTTGTGAATCGGTTATCAACCCCTAAAATGAACGCGAGCGGAGCCACAGTCAAAATGGCAGTTATGTGATAAAGATTACTCACGTAACAGTTTGACGAGGTATTTCGACTTGTTTCAAGTCACTCTAGGGGCTTATAGTACTGAGCAGCTTTGTACTAGTACATAATTTGATATAGTATGTTAGTTTTATATTGTAGTATAGTATTAATGTGGACCTTCGTTGCTTGATGTAAATTAATGAATATATATAAATTTTTAAACTGAATTAACTATAAATCGCGGGTAACTCACGTGAATATACTCAGAAAAGCTCTACTAGTTTCGAACCACAGTAGGCAGCGCGACATCGCCGCGACCGCGCACGCTGCTTATGAGGAAGAACCCCTCTCTGGTTCGAAACTAGTAGAGATTTTCTCAGCATTTTCACGTGAGTAACCCGCGATTTTTAGTTAATTTAGTATGTCTCACGATAGTTATTGTAAAAAATATATAAACTGTACGATATAATATAGATGAACTTACCCCGTGCAATTATAGGTCTTGAAAACGAACTGCGGTCCCATCCAGAGTCGTCGATGTGGTCCAGCGTGGGTCACTATCTCCACTTGCGACAACCAACGCTCTTCCTCACTCATGCACATGTCCGCGCACCTCTGTAGCAAATATACACATTACATATCTTTCATTAAAGTGATAAAGGAATCATTTTTGTGTAAAATGGAACTTTAAGAGGACTAGACTATGGTCCATTGTTTATCGTTGAGTTGGACATAAAATTAGGTACTTGCCAACTAGTCAAATTCAATAGGTTTTTCCGAACTGTCAAAAACGACAGTTTTCTATGAATTTTGTACGTGATTGTGTATTGTGACGTCACTTTTTTTAGCATAAAAACAGCTATTTCATAAAATTATGTTGGAAAAATACTAAAATTAAGTTGGTCATAAAATCAATGAACGAAAGTGTGATTATTTTTAATATTTTATTGTATTGAACAGTCGAAATAACTTATTTTTGATGAAGGCAAGTTCCCAATTCGCACTATGCTGCATGACATGTCCAGAGTCCAGAAGTATCATCATTGCTGCCAAAAAAAGGATTTATATAATAAAATAAAAATCCAACGATAAGTTCACCCGGAGGGTCTGAATATGAAACAGTGGTGGTCGTTTAGATAAGAAAATGAATTCCAGGTCAATCATAAGGTGATATAGTCTTTGAAGCTTTTGGACCTTTTATTATGAAAACTAACAACAATGAGATATCATCGCCCATGGACACAAGTTTCCTTTTGATAGGATTAATAAGAATTGGCCTTGGATATGAGTTGCCAGCCTTTTAGAGTGAGGAAGAATATCTACTGATAAATGGGTAGTTTCCTGGGTCAAAAATAAATTATTTTAGTTTTCCAGTCCAATTACATATCGAAAAATAGTTACACTTTCATTCATTGATTTGCCGATATACTCAATTTTCGATTATTCTAGCATTTTTTTCTAGATATGCGAAAATATGATGACGTCATAAGATGGTATTTCCTACAAAATTAATAGAACAGTATAGTTTTTGACGTTTCGATAAAAGTATTGAATTTGACTAGTTGTCAAGTACCGTAATATTGTGAGTTAAAAGCTATGCAGCACGTACCCTGCACGTCTGCGGCTGCAGTAGTGGGTTGGAGGGCGGTAGTGGCGCCAACAGGTCGGCGGCGGCGGCCGGGCGCTGCAGCGGCCACTGCGACACTGCCTCCACCTCCAACTCGATCGCGGAGTCGTCGCAGATCTTCTCCTTGGGTATGGCTGTAATATACATCAATATGTAGATTTCTTTCGTGCTAGAATCCCAAGTTCTGTTATGCTTTCATTAAGTCTGTTTCCTCATTAACTTTGCTCACTTTCGTCTTATTCTTATCCATTTATATTTAACGATTGTTTATTTGTATTGTATGCGCATGCGAAATGTAACTTCAAGTAAAATAACCACATTATTGTAACCCAATGATTCAATCTGTCACAATTCTGCAATCGATTTTGAACCCGATTTGGAATTTTATTCCAAACCAAACGCTTTGGAATAAAATCGAAAGTCAAAAAATACAGTTTGGAACAGCTACATTTAAAAAAAACTTCGCGCCTGTTTCCCATGGGAGTAGGCAGAGACTATGGAACGCCAATTACTACGATTCCTACATACCACTTTCGCTTGATTAATATAATTCTTTTTAGTTCTAAGATCGTTTTAACTATGAATAATTCTTACAGGACAGCGGTCGAGGATGCAGCAGGAGGTGTAGCAGCGAGCCGTTGGCGGCCATGAGGTAGAGCGCGGCCACGGGCGCGGCGCGCGCGCGGGCCAGCAGCGGCGCGCCCGGCTCCTCCGACAGCGACGACAGGCGCTGCCGACCTGGGGGGCATACGAAATATAATTATTATTTACTACGAAAATTGTGAAATGTGTCTCATATAACGAACAAAGGCCCACAAATTTTAGCAGATACCGAGCCATTTTTTTTTTTAAACGTTGCCCCACACTAGGATTTTCTCCTGTGTCGTGGGTGCGTTTACAAACATACAAGTTCACATACACAATGACAGCCAGACCCGAAACAACAATTTGTGGATCACACAAAGTATTGTTCCATGCGGGAATCGAACCCGCGACACGTTGCACGGCAGCCGGTTTCCCAGCCACCGCACCAACCGTGCAGTCAATAGATACCGAGCGATAACACCCTTTTAGTGATACCACGGCCTCACAGAAAACCGACGTGAAGCAACGCTTGTGTTGTGTTTCGTCGTGTGAGTGAGGTTACTGGAGGCACAATTACTCTCCCCTTCCCCAATCTCCCCAATTCCTGAATCCCCAACGATCCTCAAACTCCTAATCCCCAAAAGCCCGGTAATGCACTTGTAACGCCTCTGATGTTCCAAGTGTCCATGGGCGATTGTTTACCATCAGATAATCCGTCGGCTCGTTTCCCGGCTTATGCCATAAAAAAATCACCCTCGTATAAACTGAAACTTCTCCAAGCCGCCTGCCAAGTGAAGAGATAATGTCAAATACTCTTAAAGGCCCAGAGCCCAATAGTACAATGTCACGGCCTTTTAATGTTGAAGTTATCATTTTTTTACTTTTAAAACTACCTTTTTATTATAATTGGAACAAAGGATTAGACGATTACTTACCAGAGCTATTCCTAGTGATGGTGTGCGTGGGTATGTTGGCAGTGGGGCGTAGTTGCGCGAGGGGAGATAGTGTCGTGGGGAGGGGGTACGGGGGGAGGCGGGGGTTGGGGAACCACGCGCCTTGGGCCATTGTATCGCCGACCTGGGAGTGACCAAATATATTAGTATTTTGACATAAGTATGATAACAAAGAACAGGTAAGATTATGAATGTGATCCCTTATAAGAGCCATATTGATATTTTTATTTGTAGTAAACATAAAAAAATAACTATCATAGTTACGTAATATTCCATTTTCTGATATAACTGTTTCTAAGATGTTTGACGGATATTTGTATCAAGATACGTATAGAAATCAATCGACGAGATTTCGGTTAAAAGAGATATAATGCAAATGTACTCGTTGTTTCCCTACATTCACAATCCGACTTCCTCATCTTACCATGAGATATTAAATTCTAGTGCTAAGGAAGTGCAAAATAGTGAACTTACCGGCGTAGCTCGTTTCCCGGGTACTCCATGTATGGGTAACCCAGCTGAGCGATGGAATCGCGACAGTCGATTGACAACGCGCGGCTGAGTATGTGTCCGTACGCCGACGGCGCCCCCATACGGGGAGATCGCGAACACGTGCGTAGTGCCGCGGAGCGACGATATTGCAGCCCAACGACTGTCGCAGGATATTGCTATGTCCTGGGGAAAATTTTTGTTAAGGATTTTGTTGTAGGATGTTCGTGATTAAAAATACTTTAACTTCATATCTGTTTAAGTTACCATTAAGTGATTAGAAACAGGGACAAATCCAAAGGTAGGGTAATGAATGGCACAAATTAGAAGCCCAATTTTTCGATTTATTGTAATGGTTACTACCATTAACATCAACGTTGACATCATTACACATTCAACATTTTAACGTTATTTATATTTATCTTACGTGATCACTGATCAGAATATCCAAATTGCAAAATTTACTTGTTAACATTACCCCCCCCCCTCCCCTTTCCTCCACTTTACCCCCCACTCCCCTTTCCTCCACTTTACACCCCGTCTCAACTTTAAAACCATTAAACTGTCAAACACCAAGCGGTCACCGGTGACCGCAACCTATTGTTCTATAATTGTGTCTATAATGACGGTACTTGACGACTCTAAAATGAAATCAGCACTCTATTTATTTCAAACAATTTAAACAAACTTTGGGGAAGTGTGGGAGAGCCATGCTTCGGCACGAATGGGCCGGCTCGACCGGAGTGATACCACGGCGTCACAGAAAACCGACGTGAAGCAACGCTTGCGTCGTGTTTCGTCGTGTGAGTGAGGTACCGGAGGCCCAATTACCCTCCCCTTCCCCGATCCCTGAATCCTTTTTTTTGACCAACGATCCTCAAACTCCTAATCCCCAAAAAGCCGGTAACGCACTTGTAATGCCTCTGGTGTTCCAGATGTCCATGGGCGACACCGATTGCTTACCATCAGGTGATCCGTCTGCTCGTTTACCGGCTTATGCCATAAAAAAAAACCAACCTGCACTTTAGCCGTAGTATCCCCCCTGTGCAGTATGTAGAGATGGTGTACAGAAGCCAGGCTGGAGCCACAAGGGTGCGGGTTGATCCTGAACACATGGAAGTCGTGGCCGCGGCGGTCCGCAGTCACCAACAACATACCACTAGCGTCAAACTTCAGAGCTATTATTGCTTCCGAGTGCGCTATGAAGTGAGCCACGATTGGATCGAATGTCTCTTCGTTGTCTTGGCCGTCGTCTTCCTCGTTACCCTGGAATTTGAAATTGTTTTGTTAATATGTGATGGAAAAGTTAGTCTTAATAAGTAAAGTGGGACTTTAAGTTGATTGGCATAAAGCTGATAATAGTTGGCAACTTTATTTAAACCAATAAAGTGAAATGTTACGAAAGTTGCAACGAAAAGTGCCACACCAGCTAGCACCTTTTTGTACTTTTGTCCTTCTATGACTCAAAACTGTCACTTAATTGAGTGAGAACAAAGACAACTGACAAAATTATTAGACAAAAAAAAACATCCCTATAAGATCGACCTCAACCGCCTTTGAAAATGCTAGCCCGAACAGAGTAATTAGGAAATACATACTTAATTTTTGGGAAATAACTTTTAAGCAATAAGCACATCATACCTCAATATCCAATATGGTGACTACTCCAGGCTGCTGCACATCAGTGTTGGGTGGTGATGGAGATTGGGAGGTGCTTCGCCCCCCAGCCAGACTGTGGGCCACGCTCTCTCCAAGCCCACGGAGGCCTTTGCTGAGAGACTTTGCGGCATGCAGCACTGTTGCTGTGTAGCTGGTCACACCTTCGGCTGATGGAGAGATATTTTGAGGTCATTGTTTTGTTTCATGTATATTTATATTTTTAATCAAGACATAATTAATCCTTAAAGCCGGGCTTTTGTCACCTACCTCTCTTAAATTTAAGGATCTTTTAAGTTAAGTTAGGTGACACTTAACGACATACAAGTGACACCTAATAGTACAAGGGGTTAGTTCAGCTACTCCCTCATGCTAAGTAACATTTAGTTAAGATAATTATGGGGTAGGTACTAGGTAGATAGATAAATATGTTACTAAGTCCAGTAGATTTACGGCCGAATTTTCCAACACCAGATAAATTTTGGAAACTGAGGAATAACTTTAAATATGTTGGAGACTCGGTTGCCAAAGAAGAAAAAAAAACTTTAAATATTTGACAATTGGGTACTTGGCAACAAGTTTCATTTAATACTTTTTTTGAACTGTAAAAAATGAAAATTTACTGCGAATTTTGTACGACATTGTGTATTGTGACGTCGCGTTTTATTAGCGTCAAACAGCATACTTACCTATTCCTTAAAAATTTGCTGGAAAAATACTAAAATTAAGTCGGTCATAAAATCAATTAATGAAAGTATGATTATTTTTTCAATATTTTATTGTATTGAACAGTCAGTGTCATTAATTTTTGATTAAGGAAAGTACCTAATTCTTCCATACCTACTAAATACTGTCAAATATCAATTTTATTGTACAGTTAAAAATTGACTGATGATTAATAAATCGGCCCTTAGGGGTGATAGTAATACGGAGCCGCGGAAGACTAACGGGTTGCCGGGGCTCCGGCTCTAAGTGCTGGAGTAGGAACGGGGTGGTTTTTAGTCAGTATAAAGAGTCTGACACTCCCTCCCGCCTCACCCGGGCGGGAGGAGTCATTGGATGATTTTCCACCTCAAAAAATATAATAATAGTAAAGACCATTTCTGCCTGTTTTTACTATGAGAACCGAATGTAATAATTCGAATAAGTTTCACACTGAAATTAGTCACTCATAAATTACTTGTTTATTCCACAACCCTCAAAAGGTCCAAGTTGGCCTTCACCTGTAACCCTGTCTGCAGTTTAAATAACGATGATTATGTGTAAATATCTAATTAGTTAGCGATGTGTTTAATTTATTAATGTAATTAAACTGCATAATTAGTCTGTAAGTAGTTAGATACGGGGAACATAACATAAAATCACGCCTTTTAACCCCGAAGGGGTAGGCAGAGGCACATTACGGCACTTACTGCCACTATACAATATGTAACACCTAATTACGCATACACTGTACAATGTAACATACGGGGAATGTGACAGTATGATTTTATTATTTATTATATTATGTCCCTTAGACAAAACTACAACAGGTTAATTCGATTTAATAAGAATCGCTTCTTACGATTCAATGAAAAATTAATTGAAATTAGACTTAATAAAGTACAAAAATACTGTTATATAGCTTTATGGTCAATAATAAAAATCAAGGTTTTAAACATAAACAATAAATAAAAAAAAATAACCGCTACAAGTACTATCGCAATAAAGAACACCGCACTACGCACACATGCGCACGCATTAGTCACGCACGCGTATAAAAACATGATATGCAGTGGTGTAAGGTCAACAATACTAACACATACACACATTTTATAAATAAAGTCAACAGCCTTTAATAAAAAAACAAAAGAAGTTAAGAAGTTTTATATTACAATATCTTCCTTGTATTTATTTGTTTAAATTTCTTAGTAGTAGCACGGAGTCGGTAATTATGCCCGGTATATGGCAATAGGCTCACCCTCTACTACATGAGACTCATACCTTAAATAGTGAAAAGTGAATGTTACATTGTAGTAGCATTAGCATTAAGTGCCGTAATGTGCACCTCTGCCTACCCCTTCGGGGGTAAAAGGCGTGATTTTATGTTATATGGATTTAATTCATCTGCCTAATTCTATGAGTTAAGATATAATCCACATTATTAATAATGTTAGCGGTTACTGTATTTCTTTGTATAAAAGCTGTATACAAACGCTAGCCAGGTTAGAGCAAATATTTGCTCTAACCTGTCTTCTTTAAAAGATATGCGACTGTATTATTAATAAAATGAAGTTGAAAATCAAACAAGAAAATTGTATTTGAGGCGGCTTGGTCTTTGGTGCCTGACCTAAACAAATTTAAACAAATCAGCATATTTGTTAGTCTGTAATTTTAAGATAGCCTATCTAACACGCTAGTCTTGGCGTGGCAGCACGCTACTCTTAGCGTGATAGATAAGCAGAGCAGTTTAAATCTATAGAATCTGTAGATAGCCTGGTTTCAGTATAGTATCACGCTTTCTACGTGTATGTCTACTTCGTTAAAAACTACGCATTAATTATTATAAAAGAGATGATCCCCGGATATGAAAATTAAAAATCTATTTAGTCCGTAAGTTAGGTAATGAAAAAATATTAGACACGTACTTTTTTATTTTGTCGTATAATAAAATAATATTTAGATAAAACAAATCAAAGTTTAGGAGTGGGGGCTAAAACGTCATTTTCTACGTGACGTCACGCGACATTTCAAATCGATATACCGTCGAAAGTATTCGTTTCCATAAGACAATAAAAAAACTTGTCTAATGATTTAAAATAATCTACCAGACGGATATTAAAATAAAAATTAGGCATCTACCCTATTAAAAATTCATGCAATCTTCAACTGCACACAAAAGAAAACTATTAGAGCAATATAATGACAAATGGCCGTCAGCCCACGTCCGTGAAGTCCACGAAGGTGGACCGTGACATTGACACGTTTAAATATGTCATAATATTTCCATGGCTTTTATTAAAATAGACTGCAACGTTGACCTAGTATTTGTATGAGGCTACGAAGATGAACGAAGAGATATTCTTAGAATTTAGGATTTATACGTTTGTATATCCTAAATACATAACATAACATGATGCCTTTTATCCCCGACGGGGTAGGCAGAGGTGCACATTACGGCACCTTAATGCCACTGTACAATGTAATACCCACTTTTCACTATTTATGTTATAAGTCCCATGCGATGAGGGGTGAGCCTATTGCCATATACAATGCACAAATATATATAGTTTATTATTGTGGTGCCTTACATATTAGTACAGTGTATCATGTTAGAAGTCGAACTAGACGATATTATAGTGTCATTTTTACCCCCTAATGTAATAGAGGGCTAGCCCAATAACCATTAAATTGTCAAGACAAGACATAATTCCAAACTAAATGTTAATATGAAGTAATCGAAAAAAAATCAATAGTCCAATGACTAATCTGAGATTGAACTCTTAACCTTGTCAAGGTTAATACTCTTGCAATAAACTTGATTCTTTGAATGATATGAGTTTGAACCTTTTAATAAAATTCGCACTTATTGTCATATCAACCATAAGAAATCTACCGAAATTCAGTTATAGGGTATACAATAAAGAACCTTGCGAATTGACAAAGACAATATAATTATCTTGGTATTGGTATGTTCCAAGGACTTCTAGTAAAACCCTTTTGTAGTTAGACAGGATCGATATTTCGTTGTCAGCGTGCATAGTACAATGCAGACAAGAGCATTAGTCACTAACTGTATTGCGTATTAAGTGTAGAATCGACCGTTATACTTATATAGGTACTCTCATATTATTTACTTCGAACAATGCTTTGTTGCAAATGAGGTTTTGTTTGGTTCAGTAACGCCTTAATACTGAAAGGCTACTGAATTTAAACTGGACTTAAATATTGTGCTATCTCTGTGATTTTGTCACACATTAGAATTGTTCTCACACTTACGAACTAACAAAACTATGTAACTAGAGAATTGTATTGTAAACCAGATTGAAAAAGAGTAACCTATGGAGTTTGTTACTTATTCTTCTCCATAGGAATCTATACATTGGAATGAGCAACTAGCTTCACTTCAAAATTGTTGTTGTTGACGTTCAAAAGTGCCTTCCTGGTCTAATTGATATAAATGATTATATGAAATAAATAATACTTAAGCGAGACTAAATATTGAGTGGCGTTCGAGTATTTGAACTTAAGACTGACTTGCGAGTTACTCACGTAGGTAAATGTACTGAGAAAAGTTCTACTAGTTTCATACCACAGAGGGACACTTCCTCATGAGCCGCGTGCGCGGTCGCGGCGATGTCGCGCAGTTCACTCAAAATTCGTAACTAGTGGAGCATTTCTCAGTATATTTGTGTAACTCGTAAATTTTTAGTTAATAAATAAATGTGTTTATTATTAACTCGTCGAGTACCGGTTTTGTAGACACAATTATAGAACAATAGGTTGCGGTCACCGGTGACCGCTTGGTGTTTGACAGTTTA